CATGTTACATGTAACTGACTGTTCGTTCATCTGCGGTATGTATGATTTAGCAGCTCGACACTCGCCACTTGGCCACAACTCACTTAGTGCCTGGCCCTGCCACAAATGGCCATAATATTCAAGCTTCACCAGGCAGGGGCAGGGGGATGGGCTGCCAGAGGTGGCTCAAGCGAATTTATTGCAGCCCCATCCCAAACTCAGGCCGGGCCAACTCGGTGTCTGGGCTCCGAGGGCCTTTGTGTTGAAACAAACCTGACACAGACCGACCCAATCAGCAGACTTTAAGAGTTGGCCACAATTTCCGCAACATTTGATTGGCATTTGCACTCACAGAAAAGGTTGGGGTACAACTTTCTGCCTTAAATGAAACAAAAATCGTAAAACACATAAGTTTTTGAGATACAGCTTATCGCCGGTCTCCGGATTTCTGAATTATATAGAATTAATTTTATGCAAAAAAAAAAAAATATATTAGGAAATCTGTAGATACAAGTAATTTCCAAATTATATTGTACCGAATTTTAGCTTGGCTAAGTAAAAATGGTTAACTTTTGAAGGGCTTTCTATTATTTAAGGGCGGATAGTAATGGGTAGGCTATTTTAAATTCCGCATCGGGCGGCGCACCTTTAATCAATTTCAGACCCATTCTGAGGGTCTGCTCAAAGCAAAGCACACTCGAAATCAGATACAATCCGCAGCAGACGCAGAAACAGAAACAGAAACAGGAGACCGGCCGAAAGGGAACGGGTATCGGAAATCTGGCCACCCGCAACACTCTGGAGTGTGTCATAAAATGCCAAAACAAATATAAATTTTCACACAATTCAATTTATATGCCCGCAGCACAGCTCGAGCACCGAGAAAGGATGCTGGATTCGGGATACGGTTTCAAGAGCCGGCTGTATCGGCAGCTCCCAAGTAGTCCCGAGTTGGGGCTCCTCCGCCCCGCCCTGCTCCTGGCAGCTCCTTTGCGTCTTTCCAGCCATTGTCTACTCATTTTACCACTTGATTGTGTTTGCACAACATTTCAGCAAGCGCCGCGGCATCGGCATTTTGCACTGCAGCCAGCAAACCCTAAATAAAACAAAATGCCACGAAAATTTGAAATGCAAAGGCGTTGCTTGGAGCAAACATTTAACGGCGTCTGCTTGACATAAAGAGCGTTACGAAATGGGTTTAAGTTAATGGAAACTTAGTAAAATAAATGACAGCCTTGTAGCTACCAAACAACAATACTTACCTTGTTTCATTTGACTGATTTAAACTACAATTTAAGTTTGTTTTCAAGCTTTAAGAGCACATTTTGCATATAAAAACCACTAAAATATTCCGTTAAAGAAAGGCACGCATAGATTACCGCATTAAATAGGTCCTACTTTGTGTATAAAAAATACCAATATTTTTTTAGGATTTCATTGAATAATATTTTGGCACGCACTGTCACCGCCATATACATGTGTATCTACGAATGTATATCGACGCATGTTTGTCTGCCGAAAAATGAAAACAAAGTTCAATCAGAGCCCGTGCTTTGCCAGTAAATCAAATAAAATGCACATCAAAACAAAGGCAGCACAACATAGACCAGAAAGTTTTATCAACTGCCAGGCGACGAGAAGAATAAAATAAATCGCATAGAAATACTTTTCGACACTCGAGACTTGTTTGTTGGCTGAAAGCCAGCCTGAAAATCGAAATAAATGCAACAGTCGTGATATCCTATATTTAAGAACAAGAAATTCCCAATTAACCCAAACCTCGGGCTAGCCAGGGGCGCAGTTTCGGCCCTTTATAAGAGGTATTTGCGGACCTTTTCCACAGAAATGTGTATCGTATAATTGTTTTGGCAACAATCCTTTGGGGTCAAGAACAGCAGTCGGAATGCGGATCCTTTGTTGTGTCAAGCAATCATCGATACGCACTTTTAAGTAAATACGGAATTTACGGAACTTTCTGTGGGCTTGGCCTTGCTGCTGATGATAAACTACGAGCAAAGTCAGGAGTTTTAATTAAATTTGCATACAAAATTTCTGCAGCAGTCCCATCAAAAGTTATGGCAATGGCTCGGCTCCAATTGTTTAAATTAAATGGGAATGTACTGCCATTCGGCCGGCTTAACTGTCCAGGTGCGCCAGACCCGCTCATATGGCTCGTCATAAAAGGCAATGGCTCAGAACATTGCGTATACGCAGCGTGCACCGCGTCCTATTTAAACTGCGCTTAATGACGGCCCAGGTCGTTGGGAAGTGAGTCACCGACTGAGTATAAGCAGCCGACAATCAAACAGAACATGATCCAGACATATAGTGCATACATCATCCAGTGGCGGGGGCGATGCAACTGTGGCAGAACAGTCGCTCCCCTCGATGAACTGCCTCTTGGGGGCTTTATTTTTTAATGGCTTCTGCTAGTGCCTTGGTTAAGCACCCATTGAGTCATTGTATCTGCCTTGTAATATGAAAATCGCTTTGGCAAAACTCCTTGATTGCTGCTGCCACTTGATGCCCTTTCCGTTTTTAGAGAGTCATTATTGCACAGCACGGTTGGGGTGCAAAGCATTTCATTAAAAAACATTTCGCATAAGTAGCCAAAAAAATAATGATTATTTTAAGAGTTTAATTGAATCAAAATATATTACATTATAAGTACTATAATACCACTTTCAAAAATTTTTCTATATTGAAAAAAGTATTTTTTTTTGTGATCTCTAGTTAATGATCACTGCTATCTCTTATGCTGAAACTAAATAAATAAAATTAAATTAGTTTCTTATATAGTCAGTAATATTTGTTAACGGAAGAATAAAAGTGGTGATTTATGTAATGCTAAGAAGGTAAATAAAATTAAATAAAATAATATTAGTTCCTAATTTAATAAGTAATAATTGTTAACGAAAGAAACTAAAGATGGTATTAAGTAAGGAAGGTACATATTTCATTGATCGAATTTGGCCGTGAATTTATTGACTTTAAGGAGGCACGGTCCATGGAACACCTCACTTGATTGACGACACCCCCTGAGAGGGTATGCAAAATCTCTTTGTTGGCTTAAGTTTCTCCGCCAGCCATTTCTGCTTTTGTTTTGTGATGCCAATAAAACATGCATTTCACTTTCTGCCCAACCGTTGGCAAACAATGGCGGAAGGTGGCAGCCGAGGGGCAGGCATTCGCATCACAAAAACATCCTTGCCATCGCAACGCGAGGATCCTTTGTGCAGCGTGCACTCAATTATTTGGTCGTTACTTGTTTCTTATTACCTTTTGCCTACCGACACTACGAAACATAATAACTGCTGCATCTGAGGAATGGGCTGAGAAGGCTTTGTTTGTTCGGGCCGGCAATGCAATTGAGTTGCGGAATGGAGGAAATAAATGCGAATTTAATATGCAAAGGAATCGGATGAAGCCAGCCCAAGATTGCTCAAAGGATATCAGTCGAAGATTACCAGGCAAAACGATTGCGCCATGAATAAAGCCATTGTAGTGAGCGAAAGGAAGAAATGGTTAATTTTAAGGCCACACAGATTTTGACTTCGTTATATGCCCTGAATTAGAGGTTTTTTGAGAATCAGGAAATCGAAAAAAGAGGTTTAAGTGTTTCGTGTATTAATTCTTGTACTTGGGCAAAGGAAAAAACATTTGTCTATTGCTGCTGATCAAAACAATTTTACTTGGTTAGGTTTTTTTTCTGTTACATGCATTTTCAGAAACACAATTTACCCCCCTTGATTGAAAAGGATTCAACATATTTGTATCAATAAATGCTTATATTTATTTAAAATAAAAACCCTTATTTGAGAAGTTTTGTATATATGGACTGCAACAAACGCTTTCTTGGTAAATTGCCTCAGACCTGCATACTTTTAAGCCAAAAGAAAAGAAACAGGTTATGTTCAATCGGTTTGCAATCTAAATTAATCTTTGAATAAATTCAACAGTATTTGATAACAAAAATGGCAGAAAATAAGAACAAGCCTGTGGAAAACACAAGCATTCCTTTTGCGCAAAGTATTTTTTTGAAAGTCTACTCTTAAAACGTAGATCTTCGTATTATCCTTTATTCCTTAAAATATTTTTCCTAAAGATAAAAAGGTGAAACAAAGATGTACTGTATGAACATATTGATTTTTAAAAAAACAATTAAGTTTTATGGTAGAGGCAACAGATTACATTTTCTCCAAACAATATTAAAAAAAAGTATGAGAAACTGAAAAAAAATTAAGATTATTTCTTTGATCCAATCGTTCTTAAAGCATCTAAGTCATGCGCTTTCATCGGATAAATAGAGATTGTTATAGAGTTACATTTTTGCAAAGAGAGGAAATACATTTTTAATTTCAAGGAAAATAATAAGCTGTTTTTGAATTATAGAAATTTCTCGTTTGGATCTTATAAAAATGAAGAACAGCGCCTCATGTCGAACTAGAATATTGGTAAGATGTAGTTCATGTTTTATCATTTTGTGCATAATATTTTTCGATAACATTTCTGGAGTAGGTTTATCAATCTTAGACGATATTTTTTTTCAAAGAACGCTTACAATTTGCTATTGATGCTTTACACAAACTCACATGCTATTGATAAGAAACCAGTAAATACTGGTTTTAACTGCCTGTTGAATCGAAACGGTTAACAGAGGTCATTTAACAGCAAGCTGAGAACACTGAGGCTACACCCCTGTTCCAGTTTCCACATTGTCCTTCGTGGCCCTCCCCTATCCAAAATCGAGGAAACGGAACAGAAAGAAGTGTGGAACACTAAGGGGATGTTCAAGCGAACTGAAACGAATATGAGGTCCTCACCTAGGACAATATGGAATGAATCCGTAGGGGAAGTTGGAAACCCACGGAATCGGAATCGGACCTTCGAGTGCTGAAACGAACAAATCGCGAAGGAGGAAACATCGTGAAACTGAAGGGGTACATTGGCCCATTTGGCATAGGCACACTGCGAATCGCGAAATGCTCCGGATTCAGTTTCAAATTTGCATGGCACAGTGGCGGACGTGGAGCGGTGAAAAGGCGCGCAATTCGAAATTCCAAAAAAGAAGCCATAAGTTTGAATTACTTCGCGGGCGCCTGTTTGGATGCTACGAAAGTGAATGCACTGGGCATCTCCAGACTCAGATTCTGATTCGGATTCGGGCTGCGATTCTGATTCTGATTCATCGGCGACCGGTCTTTGTTTGCGCGAATGTGTGCCAACCAGGATGTGGGCGTGGCCGCCCCCGCCCCCGCCGCCCGATAAAGTGAAGTGCCGAGGAGTGGAGTGCAAGAATGCCCCCCATTTCGCGAAAGTGTTCTGTGAAATCCTGTGAGAAACGGCTGTGAGTGCAATGTGTCCTTTATAAATCAGGGAAAATCACATTTTAAATTGCTGCGCATTAGAACGGATACAGATACAAAGGCAGGGCCACAAGGAGGCAGCCAGGCAAGATCGAAAGTCAAACGCCGTCAAACGTTGATTGCGTCGTCGTCTATCCACGAAACGTGAAAAATGAAAAAGGACGAAGGAGAACGTGAAGGATTTGACTGATGTGAATGGGGGAAAGATGTGACCTGGCCGGAATCCCCCTGAAAGGTGGCACGTGCTATTGTTCGGCCCCCATCTATTTCAATTTGATTATATTGATGAGCATATGATGTAATATATGGAAATGTAATCTGATTAGAGGCAGTCTTATCCCCGCACTCAGAAGTCGTGCTCTTCCATAGACTTTAAAACTCATTAATGTGCAAAGACGCCAATCCCCAGGTCTTAGGTATCATTAGAACGGCATAAGGCGAAAAACAAGCAGTGGATGGCTGGAGCTAACAACGATGCTGGCAAATCAATAGAGGTGTTGAAACAGGTGCCAGACTTGGCCAAGATACTGGATAGCAGTTCTAAAAAAAACTCAAGAAAACATCGAAAAGAAAAGGATTTTATGCTTGGCAACGCAAAGCAATTCAGCAAAAGTATCACATATCCCGACAGGGGGCAACGTTTGTTAATTGAGGGGGAATTCGGCAAAAGTAAAGTATCAACAACTGTCAAGTATTTCTATAGGAATTCAGTTATGGGGTGGGCGCCGAAAGAGAACACTAAGCTTGCATGAAGATAAAGATAGATTTACTCCAGATTAAAGGAAAGCACTGAGGGTGTCATCATAGCCATGAAGTCCTCTGTCATTTTTATATTTGCATATATATATCTAGCCCTGTGTAAATAAAATACATAGTTAGGCAAATAGTTTAAAAATATCCTTAATATAAAGCGTTTTCGTGTTGCAACTATCAAAACTTTTGTTGTAGAAATTGTCAATATTTACCAAACAGTTTACCAATCGAAACAATAATATTAATTATATATTTATATTTCAAAAGTTACATAAAGGACAGGAAGAATACATTTTTATTTAAAACAGTATTTTAGCACTTATGTACTATACTCATATTTTAATTCTCAGGTTTTTTTATGAGATTTCATCTTCAGGTGAATAACGAGTTTTCGACTACACTTAGAAAGGCCGTTTATTCCTGTAATTCAATAGGTTAAAAGGACAACTGTCTTCTTCAATGTAAGCTTTTGTGAGTCCTGCCCTAATATAAGTCAAACCTGTAGCAATCGGACATTAAGAAAATAAGACCTATATGAACTTTATACGAGAAAAACCTAAGGGCATCTAAGCATACATAAATAATTCGGTAAATAAGGTTCGAGAGGAGATTATTACCATTTCGGCACAAGATTACTCGTGTTTCACAGTAAAACCCTCCTGTCTATAGGGGAGTTAGGTAAATCTCAGAGGCAAATGGCCGGGGTCCTCGCCCGAAAAATAAATATCAATTTGTTGCTTAGCTACCCTAATTACACGTTGGTCCGCATCGGCAGACATCCTTCTAATCGCCCCACATTATGGAGTGCAATAATGCATTAGGTCTTCCCATTTTTTGCTATTTGGGGACTTCGATTTGCCAGCTCTGCGAGCTCTGAGCCGGGTAAATGGGGTTCTGGCATTCATTTGGAGGAGTCGACACAGTTTTGCGGGCAAAACGACTATTTGGCCAACAAAAAATAACGAGCCAGGCATTAAAAATTTGCCAAACTCAGCAGAAGCGGAGGAAGTAGAACTAATGGCGAGTGCAAGAGGAGGAGCGATGGGGCCATGCAATTCATTAATTTATTGACTTATAATCAAGCCAGCCCGAAACTTATGCCCAGAGGCAGAGCAGGATAAATATCCATTTATCACATAAATAGAATGCTAACAGCAGTGAATCCTTGGTGGTTTTCTGTTTTCCTCGGACCGAACTTATACTTTCGCCTTTCTAGCCTGGCTGCTGCGGTTGGCTTTGCCAAATAAAGCAAGGAATAAGTTAAAACATACGTTCTCTGCGGTCTGACTCGGTGAAATAGAAACAAAAATCCTGGGCCAGGGGCGGGAAAAGACAGTCACGTCCGTGCTACTCGTCCCCTCCTCCGGGGAAAATGTGGTATGCAAATTCAACCGAGAAGACTTCATAAAAGCAATGCAAATAATTAAATAACAGTGCGGGAACAAACAGCACGGAGCAGCAGCAGCTTGACATGCTACTTGGGCTGGCGAAACTTGGATTAACTAGCTGCGAGGAAATAAATACGAGCTGCGAAACACAAACTCCGAGATCCGCAATCCGAAAGCAAATCCCAAACCAATCCAAGTTCCGCCCAGGTGCGACCGCCGACAGATGCCCTCGCCCAATAAAATGTCCTGGCGGGAAAAGGAGTGCCCCGCAGGACGAGGGGCGGCCATCCTGGCCGGGAGGAGTCCGGGCACCGCCAGCATACTGTTGGCGTTTCTGGCAGCTGTCAGCTTTCGTGGCATGCGAGCGCGTAAGTGTAAACTTCTTTTACTTGGCTGACACGGGAAGGAATCCGGCGTGCACTTCTGCGCACGGATTTCGCCGATGATTCGCTAGGTGCTGGGCGAAATGCATTATGAAATAGTTATTTCTCAAATACATTATGAAATAGTTATTTCTCAAATGTTTATTTTATCTTCGGCTATTGTTAATTTAAAAACATTTTGTTATATAAGCTTTAATTATATTAAGACATTTTCGTACTAACCAGTATAACAACGTATTTCAATCAAAACAAAAAATGTCCCTTGTTTTAGTTCACGGACCTTAATTTAGATAATAATGTTCTAAGAATGGGCAAACATGGTCTTAGAAATGTGTTTTTGGGTGTAACATATTCTTGACTTTATCAATTATCTGCTACTTTATTTACTTTATTATTTTGTATATGAATCGAAATCGAAAAACTTATTAGAATTTGAGTAAAACTAGTTAAAACAAGAAAGGAAGTTAACTTTGGCAAGCCGAAGTTTGTATACCCTTGCCGTTATAAGAAATTATCAATGTTAGTAACACCATGTTACTTTTTTAAGGATTGTTGCTAGCTTCAGTGATGTTAATGTAAAATTAAATTCGTAATGCTGAAAAGTTAAAATATTCTATATCCCAGAGTAAAAGAAAATACGATCAAAATCAAAAAATCAAAATTTTTTTGTAAATAATTATTTTCTTATTTCTCTGACTGTTTCTTTGGTAGCTATATGTTAGAGTCGTCCGATTTTTATTAAGTTTAATTTGAAATTCCTAAAAATTCCCGATAGCTTAAAAACTGAGAGACTAGTTTGCGTAGAAACGGAAAGACAGACGGACTTGGCTAGATCGACTCGTCTAGTGATGCTGATCAAGAATGTATATACTTTATGGGGCCGGAAACTTCTCCTTCCCTGCGTTGCAAACTTCTGACTGAAATTATAATACCCTCTGCAAGGGAATAAAAATTGGGTATTTATACCCGTTACTCGTAGAGTAAAAGGGTATACTAGATTCGTCGTAAAGTATGTAACAGGCAGAAGGAAGCGTTTCCGACCCCATAAAGTATATATATTCTTGATCAGGATCACTAGCCGAGTCGATCTAGCCATGTCCGTCTGTCCGTCTGTCTGTCCAGATGAACGCTGAGATCTCGGAAACTATGGGAGCTAGGCTATTGAGATTTGGCGTGCAGATTCCTGAGCTTCTTACGCAGCGCAAGTTTGTTTCAGTAGAGTGCCACGCCCACTCTAACGCCCACAAACCGCCCAAAACTGTGGCTCCTACAGTTTTGATGCTAGAATAAAAATTTTAACTGAAATGTAATGTTCTCATCAATACCTATCGATTGACCCAAAAAAAAATTTGCCGCGCCCACTCTAACGCCCATAACGCTTAAATCTGTATACCGTCGGTAGGTGGCGCATTTTAATCTCGCTTTGCTACTTGCATATCTCTATTTAGCTGAGTAACGGGTACCTGATAGTCGAGGTACTCGACTATAGCGTTCTTCCTCGTTTCGTATACATAAGATCATTATATTGTTTTATTTCTGGAAAATAATATAAATCTATTTTACCTATACACACTAATTTTTAATTGAATAGAAAAATCCCAATTCGAATTTCCAAATCAGTCCGAACTTCGTAATCCACGCTAACACCCTAACACTCCGAATCGATGTTTTCCAACTCTGAACTACCCACCGTAAACCCACGAATCGTGTAACCAACTGCCAGCAATCCCCTGATCCCATTGGCATACGAGTCTAGGAAAATCGGTTCCCGGAACTCCCCTGAGACCCTGTGTTTACCATGCGAGTCTGTCCCATGTCCTGAGTTCCGAGTACAGAGTACCGAGCACCGAATCCCGGCACCCCTGTCCAACTTTTGGCTACGTGCTCCGCTCCCTTCCGCACTGCTTTGTGCCGTTGAGTTGGGTTCCATGTTTGGTGCTAAGCTTTGTTTTTGCATGCATAGTTAATTCAATTTCGCACATTTTTGTGCAAGTGTCGAGTGAAGCGTTTGCCAAATTTAATTTACATGATGAGATTTGCTTGGCTGCATTGTCGTTGGCAACTCGTTGGCACGATTTTTATAAGCTTGTCGACTTAATTTAATCGTGCAGTGCAAATTTTCATTTAGTCGAGCGCACACACGCGCCTCAATGATTGTCAGACACCTGTCACCCGAGAGGAAATCCCTGTTCGCCGCCAGAAACTCATTACGCATACGCAGCGTGTGAAGATTGCGACTCCGCACTGGCTGAAGTTTGCCTTCGTTTTTCGAGTAGTTTATGAAAATGCCTGGCATATTTTCTAGCCCGGCCTAATTGGAGGGGGCCCTGCTAGCCGTCTCTGCTCCTGAGTCTCGAGTTGATTAAATTTTGTGCGTGCACAGGTTGCGTGGCCCCGGTTGGGTGGGATGTCTGCTCAACAGGTCGGATGCGTCATGTGATTGTGCCCCCCTGCGAAATTACCACCGGACCGAGCTGTCTGTGCACATTGCTTTCATCAAATTGTCTAATTCATAGTTCGGTGTAATTACGGGGTTTCCCTTTATTTCTGTGCCATTTCTGAGAGTCGGATTGAATAAATTATGAGAGCTTGCCACTTCAACTGAGTGAGTTCTGCCTCAATCTGATTTCACTTCTGTGGTAAGCCTTTAATGTTCTGGGCCCACTTGTTTATTTGCGCACTGGCTAAATATTTGCTGCCAAAAGCTTGTCTTGGGGGCCTGTTAAAGAAGCTCACAGTTCTTGCGGCTGAATAATTGCCAAATAATATTTATCATCTTGTTTTGTGCTCAACTCCCCCCTGCCGCCTCATCTAATCAATCTCAGCCGAACTGCTGGCAGTGCCAAGGCAATATCATTAACAACACATGCCCCCGATCCGTTTCCGCACTCATATGTGATATAATTAAATTGGAGACCAGCAAAAACGCGCAGAACCCCAGTCGGAAAAACAGTGGCACAGCCACAGGGAACAGGAACAAGTAGACACTCAAATAACACTTAAGCCATCAATCAGCGCACTGGCCAAGGTCAAAGGCGGCGCCACGCCCATGTCCATCTCTGTTAATTATACCTCGACCATGGACCGCATACCAAGCAGCAGAGGGCGAATTCAACTTTGTTTTATATAAGAGATACAAGTATTTACCATAGAAAGGCTCCCAAGACAAATGGCGGTCAAATGTCACGTTTAATTTATTTATGGCCAAAACACATAACCGTTGGAGTGGGCCAGGGGGAAAAAGGGACTCGAGCGAGGGGCGCTGGGCGATGGGCGTGGCCCCAGGGCTCAAGGACCGGGCTTTAATTAAATAACTGCGCTAAGTGGAGCCAAAGAGTTGGCGTCGCTAATACAGCCATTAGCCGAATTCGTTGAGAGCCCATAAATTTCAGGCACCAACTCAGGAATCACAAAATAATTCCCGGACTCTGCACTCCCTTGAATAAATTCCAGCTTACTCAATTCGGAGGCAAGGCGATACTTCAGACTAATAAATAGCTGGCGGCGACAATTAATTAACTCCGGATTGTCTTACTGTCTAAGTTTCCATATGCAAGCAATATGTTTTGCAGAAAAGTTGACTTTACCAATATTTACTGCTTACTAGATATGAACCATAATGGAGGAGTTATATCTTTTGACATATAAATAATACAAATAAATTAGGCTTAAATGTTGTTTTTGATTTCGAAGTCATTTATTCATAGCAAAACGAATTAAAATTGGTTTTTATTTTATATATTTTACTAGTTTCTATATATGACGCCACTAATAAAACTCTAGTTCGTTATCAGAAATTTTAAATTCAAACTAAAACCTTTGAATTTTAAAAGTCTTCGTTTTCTGAGGTTCGAATACATAAACATATAAATAAATATTATCCTGTCAGATTGTGTCTCGTTAATAAGACTCTAAAGTTGTAATTAATTTACTGCTTGAATCGTTACCCAATTACCATTGTCCCAAAGACCTCCTGATGCCCGCTTTGTTAGTAATATACCTTTCGCACTCCCCACTTAATTCGCATATTTACTGAGACAATAAATTTGGCTTTGGACAAGTGGTGTACCGGCTACATATACATTTGTCCCTCAACGGACGCACACGAGGATGTTTGGGCCACGTTTCGCATCAAGTCCGTAATGAGCCCCCGACTTCAATAGTAAGCCTAACACAACCCCTCGCGCTGAATGTTGTTGTGTATTTGCTTATTCATGTGTGCAAATTATGAGCAATAACAACGGCAGTCCCATCAATGCGAAAGACAACAATCGTCAATCAGGAGGCACGAAGGCAAAAGGCTGTGAAAAACCGGGAGGGAAACGCTTTAAAGCAATCGAAGCCAGTCGAGTGCTAAATGGGCGGCCCCTGCCACACCCACCGCCCACCGCCCATCTGCCACGCCCCACGCACCTCCCGCACTTAAGCTGTGTAATTGCTGTGTGCGAGAGCAGAATGCCACAAAAAGTCGAAGGCGGCCCACTGTCGTCAGAGTGAGCGATACGACGCGTCGCCATTCGGCCCAAACAAAAAAGAAATACGCTTGTGGTACTTCAGACAAATAGATCGATATGCGACAATTAAATTCCCTGAGGATGGTGTTCATTAAGTTCTGACGAACTCAAGGACAACCCTGTTTACTTTTGTGCAGTATTTATTTTTCCCAAACCCAAAAAAAATTATATATTTATTGTTAGCTTGCATTAAATAATTAAAAGTTTATGACTTTAAGACAAAGTAACAAAACGGCAATGTTCAGAACAATATCTACGTGGATCCTGTTTTGAACATGCCTAATATAATTATTTCTGCAGTTGAAAGTTTTAGAGAACTCAATGAAATCGTAAGACTGTTAATAATTTCATTATGCAACAAATGGTTTGAGTATATGAAGAAGAGAAACATATTGTTTTCTAAATATGAAATATATATAGGTAATTTACACATAAAACCACAATTTATAGTACCTCTTTTTTAAAAGTGCTTACAACTCCTGCGGGTTGAAAGGATTACCGAAGCCACTGAAAATGTTCGCTGACTAGTAGATTTTCTGTGGCATATTCACCCAATCAGAGCGCCGTCACCAATCCATCACAGGGTTACCCTCGTCAGAAATCGGCTGCTATCGGGACATGGTGGACCAAGATCGCAGGAGAGTCCATGGGACCGGTCGGAGTTAAAGGGTAACCACAACAAAACGTGCAGCCATTGATAAAATGTGCGCCGGCTGCTGATGTAGGTCGGATCCGGAAGAGGTGCACTGGGATGTGGATGGCAATGGGAAGTGGGAATGGGAACGGGAATGCAGGAGCTGGAATTTATGATTCCATTTTTACTTCTCTGCTCGGTCTTGCAACAGCCCCCGGCCATGTGAAGGTTTTCTTTGGGGAATGCGAGCGGGGAAAACTGTGTGGGGGAATGCGAATGGTTGCGGCTTGTGAATTTCTCTCGCAACAATGAGACATGCTTCACCGTGGCCGGAACCCCTGGCCGGCGTCATTGGCCTAAACCCCCGCTGTTCTACTGGCGACGCCCATGCTAACAGTCCCTGCATGGATCAAAATCAGACGTGGCCTTTCAAATGTGAATTTCAGATTTATTTTTTACTGTAGAATTGTAAATAACTTTAAGCAGGAAATAAACTAAAAGTACTCCATTTTTATTTATTAAGAAAAATAAATTGGATTTGTATGGAAGTGTTTAAAACATTTTAAAGTAATGTAGTGACTTTATAAATCTAGCGATCCTTAATAAACACATGCTACCCAACTTCTAACTTAAAAACACTGAAGGTATCAACACCTATTTAAAAATTTCACGAGCCCCGTTTGTCTCTATTTTCTCGCTGTGTACCTTTTTCCCTGTGTGTTTGTGACAACCATTTGAGCAGTTCGATTATGCATGTTGTGAGCTTGGGGCGGCATAAGGGGATCGGGGCAGTTTCTAATATTTGCTGAATGCTGCGAACCAATAAATGACAAGTTATGCCCTCTAATTAATGCGCTTCAGCATGCGACAAGCGTGTGCGGCTTCTGGCCGAATGATTTCGGCCTGGTCTAATGGGCGTTATTCCAGGGTCTTGACCAGACCCGCCATCCCCTCTGCGTTCGGCTTAATTTCGGCACATAAATACCCATGGGCCGCACCCCGGAGGCGCCATCGCCGAAGAGGAACCTCATATGAAGCCAGTTTTTGTGGCCGCATCATGACCGGGTCGGCGTTTCATTTTTCAACTGTCAGACTACCGCAAAGCCAGTGACACTTTACTCCCCCGCTGGAAGATGATGCAAAAGGGGTTATCTGGCGGCGCCTCGGGCTTGAATACATACATGGAAATTAAAATGACATTAGGTCAGGCGAGCGTAAAAAGCCAGAGGTTCCATTATTTTTTTAGCTTTAATTTTTGAAAGAAATCGTGACATTTTATCTTCAACGGACACAGGCTCCGGGGCACTAAATGGAACCATAAAATTTTATAATAAATCACGATTAACATCGGAACAAATGAGCTCAAAGTCAGCTCAATGATACCTAACTAAAAAGTAACTAACTTGATTTTAGTAAAGCTAAAAAGTTAATGTTAATGTCATTTGACGTGTATTTTAAGGAAAGAAACAATTTAGTAAGTAAACTGGGACACTCAACCCCACCAGTCCCAAAAGCTTAAATGAGCGCTCATTATCATGATACATTTTATTTTTCAAAGCAAAAAACTCCTGTCTCAGCGGTTATTCGTTCTTACCTAGGGTTAGATTGCCGTTAAGGCCAAAATAATTGAAACACTCGAATAATTTATATTGCGACACTTGCAGGTTTTACCTATGGGAGCAATGTATTTTAATTTACAAGCGAAACCGTTTTGCCGAAAACAAAATATAAAATGGTTCGTAGTTTTTGACGGACAGACGGACAGATGGACAGAAGGCCAGACGGACATGGCTAGATCGACTTGCCTAGTGGTGCTGATCAAGAAAAAATATCCTTTATGGGGTGGTATAATAATACCACTAGTTCGAAAAAATAAAAGACGGCGAAAGATCTACGTAAAAAACGAGTCTTGATCAAGACTTGATAACAGATATAAGTATTCCTCATACAGTATATTATGAACAGTTTTGACAGTCGCCTAACACTTAAATGCTTATTTAAAAAATAAAACGTTGACAAAAACGGACGGCGTCAGCAAATTTATGCTAATTTACCTCATCAATATTTAACTCAAGTAAAGGTAGTTTACTATTTACTAATCATGATGGAACAATTGTTGATTAGTTGCCAAGGGCGTTTAGCAGAACTTTCGTTATAAATCCTTAAGTGACCAGTTATCATGTTGTTATACTGTACGTGGTCAATTTACGTTTCTAAGGAATACCCCATATGTAAAAGAGAAATTAAGAACACTTGTTTTGAACTAGTTCACTCAGATGAGTTTAGCATACAGGGCTGCACAACTAATTTAGAAGCTTGCCAAGCTATCACGTTTTGATTTATTGTTTCAAAATTCCTCATTTAGGTTTTAAGTTAGGCTGTGGATTATCTATTATACAATCTTCCATCGATAAGTTGTATCATTGTTGCTTGAGATACATATATTCAGTCGTATTGCTTTGAGAAAGTGTACAAACCCAGCGCCTCAGGATGAGCGATATACCCATTGTGCACGAGGGCTGCCAAAAGGTGGAGGTCAAAACCCAGTTGCACGTGCTTCTTTCGAAGCAAATACTAAGTCAACTGTTCCCCAACACTAATTTCTTGAAAAATCTGCGCTCCCTCACCATCGGGAACATATCCCAAGCAGTTCTGGAGGAGATCTTTGCGAACTGTGGACAGCTGCAGAGCTTAATGCTGTGGGATAGGCTGGGTCCCGGCATCCTTTACGATATTCGGAATATAGGCCTTTGCAGGTCGTTGAAGGTGCTTATGCTGCCACTAGAAATTGCGACACCGCTGGCCGTCTGCCGCCTGGTGGACCTGACCCATCTCACTCTTCAGCGCCAGAACGTCTGGCCGGGAATCGACTGGCTGTGCACTGTGATAGCCATCATACAGGCCAGAAGGTTCGACCTTCAGGAACTCAGCTTCAATGGATCCTGGCTGGTGGCTCCCCTGGACCTCTCTCGGCTGAATCTTGCCAATTGTACTGCTCTAACGGACCTGAAATTAAGCAACTGCAGGCTGAGCGAGCTTAGTGGCCCGCCACTGCCCTTGACCTGCCAGAGGATCAGCTTCCGGCGATGCTCTGTGGTCAAGCTGCACAGCTACACAAGGACCCATGCGCTGTTGCAGAATCTGGAGGTGTTCGACTGCCAGGTGCTATCGGAAGCGCCCCTGCTGCGGCGCATCCTGAGCCTGAGGAAGCGCCTGACCGACCACGCACCTCTGCTGTTGACCTTTAGCCAGTCCCCCAAGCTGCGATCGGAGTACTCTGAGTGGACCCAGGAAGAAGTAAATGAATTCAGCCGGTGGCTGAAAGTGAAGGAACTGGAGCCCCAGCAGGCGGATACATGGAACCAGCCACTCGAAACGGTTTCCATGAACTTTTCCAGCTCCATCAACTTTTTGCCCAACCTCTCACTCCCGGAGGATAGTATTCCGAACGCCGCTGATATTGTCCGGAGGTTGGATCCTTTGGAAGGAGATTGAATGGGAACAGCAGGCTTTGCATGCCCACGAGAATTAATTTTATTGTATTCATGTCTTTTCATTTTACATGTCAAATATCTAAAAAATAGTACACTTACAACTATCAAAGTTAAAAGTTAAAGACACATCTTCAGATATGAAAAGAATATACAATTTTACTATTTTTGTTTCGTTACCTATTATTCCGTGTACCGTTTTAACTTCATCACAATTATGCTTCTACCCGTCACAAAAAGTATTTAAAAGATGAAGTGCCTAAAAGGTCTCAATTTTATCATTAAGCATGTTCCGAAAAAATTAAACAAACTTATCAATTGTGTAAACTCTGTTGAAAATATATTTAACAAGGTCTCTAATGTATATGTGTGTGTGTCTAAGAATCAAATAACAGTTTTAGGGTCCTGGAAGCTTGTTCTTCCGCTAAGCAAAAATGGTTTTAACACCGATTATATATATTTTTAGTCATTGCTTGCGGAATTTCTTCTTCATGCGATTGTCCAACTTTTTGCATTATCAGGCAATCTTAACTACAATTAATATTAGTTTTATTCAAATATGTCTAATTTTTGGGGAAAAAATTCTTGAATTGAAGTTAAATTTTTTAAGTTTACTGCTATTACTACATGTGTAGACATTATTTTTACTGGTTTAATAAGAATTGTGTACATTACATACGTATTGGTATATCGGTCCGAGAGAGATATCTCACTGGCGATACGCCAGTCCTAGGCATCTTAAGGTCTAGTTTTGCTGAACTAAGGATCCTTATAGTACAATGTAATGGTTCTTTCTTTGTGCCATCTTTCTAACGTTTAAGTGAAAAATTAACTTTCTGTCCAAGTGCCAAAATTCTAATTCCATACATGCATAAAACCATAAATTAGTATTTTTGTTTGAAACTTTAGCAAAGTAGGAAGACATTTATAGGAAACCCAATTAATTAGATAAAACTAAGATTTTACTAACCCACTCAATTGTAAAATAACAATTTTTATCAAGAGGAGAATGTATTCACTTCATATTTTATAATGGAATTTTGCAATTTAATTGTGAATTCTTGCGGAAAGCACTTAGAGCCCCCGAATCATCAAAAAACACATTTGAACACTCCCATAATTTAATGAATACAAATCCCACGTAAAATACCTCCAGTCGGCGATGCCCCCCTTCACTTCAAGTGGCATCCACCATGTACACCATATCAAATCTAACCTCGAAAGGCTTTCGCCATGTGAGCCCCGTATTTGCTTTAGGATCGCCATTTTTCCAGTTGGCTGACTTTTTGTTTATCAGAGAGCACATAAATAACAAAAAGTTACCAAAAACAAGGAGTAAAGTGAAATTTATGTGTACCGCATGTAATTAATAATAAAAGAAATCGCGCAAACGAATTAAATGGTTCTGTGTGTTTAACTTGCTTGTTAGCCTGTCCAGCACGGCGCTTAATTAGACCAACTTCCCCGAGCACACATATCCCGCGCCCCTGCCTTGCCCTTTTCCCGAACTTTATGTTTGAGCCAACTTAATGGGGTCCGAGCAGTGCACCAGCTAATCGGGTTAACCAATCCCAAAAGCAATGTTAACCTGTTGTAATTGTGTGTTACCTGGCGAGGTGGGGGATTGGACGGCTTGGCAGGAGGACAGGTGATGGCACAAAGCAAAGATCGTAAATGGTATGAACAGAGCTAGGAGTGTGAGCATAATCTCGGTCAGTCCTGGAGAAGTGAAGATACTTTTTCCTTAGCCTAAGTCTAATGCTAGCGAATAATTTCTAAAATGTAATGGTGTAAATCTCGAATGTTTAACATTCTAATCTATTACTTGAACCATTATTTCATTTACTTTTATAATATTTCTTTTCAGTCAATTTAAAAGTCTTTAATCTTTTCAATTTTAAACACTCTCGTTTAATTTTATTAATTGGACTCGGCTTAATTGAAATAAATCCTGATTAAAGCAAAGGCATATAGAAATATTATCCAAATTTAATATAATTAATAAACACACACAAACATATATTTATAACTAAATTTGGAAATAGCCATAAATTTAGCTGATTGTTGGTTTAATTTATAATAAACTTTTGGCGAAATCGTGTTAAACGCCAGACGTAATCCCTGAAATGTTAAGCCCCGCAACATTTGGTTTTAATTCCTGCAGTGTCGCAATGGTTGTTCAGTTTCCAAACGATATAATCCATGCATCATCTCATGGCGGCAGTCCGATTAGACACGAACCCCCCTGACTGGGTTTGGCCTTTTTCAACTTTGCACTCGAATGAATACGAAATTCGCGCGAAATTCCCTGACAGAACCCACGACAAAGATAAAGTTTCCGCCGCCCCACGCCGAAGGTCCCCCACTTGAATTATTATGTTATAGCGCTGCTCTGGGCTGGGGCGTTCTACATTCCGTGTTCTGTGTCCCGAACCCGAAAAGTTTGCACCAATCATTGCTCAACCATTTGAGTAGAAATTTTAAATTTATTGCTCTGACAATGCGACAGCAAACAATAACATTAACAAAGTAATAACTCAGGGCCCCTTAAATGATTTCAATTATTTGCCCAAATGTGTGACGAGCGCCGGAAAGAATGGGCAGGCAGTGCTATGGCAAGGGCCCAAAAACCGAAATCAGTTTATGTGGTTTACTGAACAGTTACACTAATTACCGCACAACAAATCCGTAGCTCTCATTTAGCGGTGTTGTTCTTGCACTTGTTGTACTCCCAGTTGTTGTCGGTTTCTGTTTTTATAAACTTTTGTGTGCAAATAGTTTTTAATTACGTAGATATGCTGGCAGCAAGAAAAACAATTGAAAATCCAACCAGGGAATAAAGTTTAAAGCTGTTTGAACTCCTGATACCCAGTGAGGGATTACCTTTGTGGGTAATATAGTTTGAAAGCTAGAATTTTATTGTAACTAGTAGGTCCTCCTTGGCTAGGTGTAAATTACAGGTTTATTTATCGGACATTTGAATCTTGTGCTAATAGGTGAACAAAATAAGCGTAGTTGACAGCAGTTAGCTCACTCGGTTAATACCAAAATGTTGTGCGGTCAACATTTGGCAAGCAATATAATGTGGTTCATTTTCAGCATCTAAGCCCCAAAAGTACGGGTCATTCATATGTGCGCTTAACTATCCTAATACCACTGTAGAATTCCGAACGTAATAAATTCATAATAAGACTTTAAAACTCTTTAAAGAATGTTTAGATCTCCTTCGAAGCAACAATAAGCTTAAAAGCATTTAACATAGAAAAGGAAAAACACAATAGACGAGCGACTCGACTTTGAAATACCCACGGATTTGTCCTGTTTTAAACGAAACAAATATAAAGGAATAAAAAATATTTCCCATTCAAATTTAATATATAAGCACCTTTAAGTTTAACCCTAAGGTGTACCTCACTTTAACTGCCCATAACCGAGTTGAAACTTGTCGAATCTTATTTATGCAGTGGGCCGTGGCTCGCAACTTTGCAGCAAAATTAAGTTATTTAAAGCCAACAACGTCGGCTACTTAGGCGATGCAACTGCCTGCAGCTGTGCAACTCCGGAGTGGAAAGTGGAAAACTATTTCTGCGAATTGTTCTCAAGCGGAGCATTTAATAAAAATGTAAACTTGTGCTGAAACTCCACTGCAGACCAGTCCTCCGGCCCACAGACTGGCTCACTTTATGGTGGCTCTGTGTGAGCATTTGGCATAATATTATTTACATAATAAATACTTAGTTGTTATTTGTTGTGCTGCGCGTAAATTTGCCGCCCGAGGCGAGACAGCGGAACGGGAGGCGACGCCCGAAAGTAGGCAGTCCGGCGATGGAGGGTGAGCGGGCGGATGTGTGGGTGCTGGTCGGGTGTGGGTGGATGTCCTGGTCCTCACAGAATGTATAATGTGGGCGGCGTGACTCTGTAATTCCAGGCCCATCTGCGGGATTTCATGCTCTAATAAAATTGCAATGGCCGCAAGCTCTAAGCTTGATTGGATCAGAATAAAGACGAGGAACATTGACCAGTTCGCCAGCTCCCCCAAAGTTTTACCAGAATTTACAGTAATCATGGCCCAACCAGCTTAAATTACCAAAAGAAAATATGGCTTCCTTGGTATACAATATTCTTAGCTGACTGCAGCCAGAAAACAGATTAAATTGTTGTTTCTTAACAATTGTGTATTCCTTTCAAAAAGCAAAAACTTACGTAATTTAAAAACGTTACCTTATTATCTTAAAAACTGTTACTAAATGGATGGTTTCTACAAAATATTGATCAGAAATACAGCAGCAGTGGTAAAGTATTGCCAACGGAACGCTACAATAGAATATAACTTTATATGCAAGAAGTTTAAATATTTTGATGAAGCGGGCAGAATGAAAACACTTTAGAAAGTGTATTTATTTATTCGGATGAACCATACTTTTTCGTGTCAAGATTGTATATCCGAACTTTTGTTGAAGGTGCGATCGTCAGGACCCCTTACCTCGTTAAGAAGTGTTGTTGTTTGATAACTAAAAGAGAGAATTTCAATGTATTGAACGACCACTAATTTAGATGTTTAATATTTTTAATCAAATTGCTATTGCGACTAAACACAACCAAAAATTGGTTGGTAAAATATACCAACGCGTAAATAAAAAATGTACTTCACTATAAAATGGTTGCATGTGTATTTCTTTTTGCTTTTCTTACTATTTAATAGTTAAGCCACTCCTAACATGATAAGGTTCACGTGATGTGTGTATTTTGTTATTGCATTAGTAAATAGTTGATTAACTATTAAGAGTAGTTATCCTAACGTAATATCCTCCACACAGAAGTATGCATCAATAACTTTACAAATTTTCTCCAATGCGTTATAATTCCTAACTGGGCTTAGCGTCTCGTACACCTAAAGACCCCAGCCAAACTCTGAAAAGTAAAAGCTTTACCTAAACATATATTCTCTAAAGTACTCGACATATTTCCAAACTAACAGGAAGACATTTATAAAAAAGTCATTTTAAATATTACCTTTTTTATTTTGCTTATAAATTACAATGCTACATTGACATATCTATGAATTTAATTAATCATTTTAAAAATCTTATAGGTATATATTTACCATAAAAAATTCACTAACTATATTTTATGGGTTGAATAACTATAAAAATTAATAGTTACATAAATATTCCTTATATTTCGTTAACGTATTACGTAAGAGTAACTTTTTGATGGGTAAAATTGATTGACCAATCAATTTTACCAAACAATTTTTTGTGTGTTAAAAAAATTGAAATCTTTGACAACTACCATTCTATGACTTTATACCATTCAGTCAAGTCAATGTAAAAAAGATTCACCAAGCCTATATCATCAATATTTTTTTAATCGCTTTTGATAACTTGAATCACTCCTCTTTTCGATTACTGTAAAAATACACCAACTCAAGCTACCACTGTTTTTTATATTGCTCGAGGGATACTTCCCCAGGTCCAAGAACCACAACCATCAGAAGACCTCCTACCACCGATAAGGTGTGAAAGAAGTTGTACTTCAGCAGATCCCTAGAATCTCCATCGTCGAACCACCAGGCGTTTGTGGTCACATTCCACACGGTGAGAATTAGCGAAAGACACAAAGCAGCCATTCGGGTGCGATAGCCCATTACGATGAAGGCCATCAGGATCAGGCCAAAAGAGTTCAAGACCATGGCTGGAATGGTGAAGTACTGCTGGAAGAGGGTAAGATACATGAGGGCCAGCAGGATTCTTCCAGTGAGCTGCATCAGATGCTGGGAACGCCGGCTCACAACAAAAGGCAGTCCAGCTCCTGCTCCGTAGATGCGGCATGCCACCGCCTCCTTGTTTTCCACATGCAGAAGCAGTAAGCCTCCGAGGAGCGAGAAATTCCGGAGCAGCAGCTTCAGTTGCAGAGGCACTTCATATATGTGAACCTTAAACAAAGTAAAAGTATCAACATATATAAATAAGTGCACAGAAAAAATATAATATTGATAATCTATTCGATCAAATGCTTTCTTTAATAGAATTTTCTTAGATAGGAAATGCAAGAAATAACATTTACCAAACGAATATCAAATTTATCCCAACGTTTTTTTCTGGGTAAAAGTTTTAAGAGGCTTAAAAATATATATGTATAGCTTCATAGAACTAGAATGGAATACTCCTAATGACATGTACCAGATTAGAATGGATAAAAATAGTTTATTTGCTTTGTCATGACTGTAATCATAATTATTTGGATATGGGAATCTACAATATTTAAACACCTCATGTGGACGAAGAAAATGATTCCCAAACTTACCTGAAGCAGCACTAGGCCGGCCAGCAGGGTGACCGCAAAATTAGTGAACAGGTGCAGGATGACCAGAGCCGAGCCCACCAGCTGACCCACCAGATTCAGCAGGACTATTGCCACCGCAAGGCCGTCTGAGCACTGGTGGTGGTCCTGGAGGAAAGCCAGCTGTTCCACCCACTGGAACCACATGCGCAGGGCGTCCTCGAAGAAGGTGGCCACCAGGCAGAAGCGGGCCACCGAGGGCAGAAAGGGGCGGCACCGCCGGGCGACCTCCTCCCCCAAATCTTCCGCCCTGCGCAGCCATCGGGCTCCCGTCTGGGTCACCAGCATGTCCTGAGATTCCTGCTCCAAGCCGCAAACTCCACTTACAAGCAAAGTGATTTCTCTCGGCGTCCCTGGCTGACAGTCGTGGCAGTGATAACAAACGGCCAGTGCCACTCTGAGTAATCGTTCCGGTCTGTCTCGAGTCTGTGGCACTTCTTGAAAAGATTGCTCTGTTAAGAGGCGCCCAACATGGTCCTCTGCCGGGCTCAGCTGCAGTTCTGTGAATTTCATATCATAATGCACACTGCCCTTGCTAACATACATATTTTCTCAATAATTTTAAACAAAAAGTGTTGTTTATATTTTTAAGTCAAGGTTTTTCAAGGGGTTACACCACTCTGAAATGGTTTTTCGAACAAAAGTATTGTAGTGCTAAAAGTGGACAATGTGACGCAAGTAGGTTAGTTTATCGGAAAAAATATCTCTTCTTTGGGGCCGTCCATAAACCACGTGGACAGTTTTGGGGGGAGGGGGGGTTCGTCAAAAGTCCACGATTTTCCACGAGGGGGGGAGGGGGGGTCGAGGTAAATGTCCACGTGGACATAGTAAAAATTTAATTGTAACCTTTATGCTATTTATTCCACTTTTAAATTTACTATTAAACTTATATTTATTTACCATTTTTAAAAATCTCTATAGATATCATTTTTAATAAGAAAAAAAAAATTTTGTAATGAAAAAGTCCACGTGGACATAATGGGTTGGGGGGGTTAGTTAAAAATCCACGATTGTCCACGAGGGGGGGAGGGGGGGTCAAAAAGTGATTAAAATTTGTCCACGTGGTTTATGGACGGCCCCTTTTGTGAATTAAAAATTGTTAATTTATATAGACAGCCGCAAGAAAAATATCTTTTTTATATTTGTATTGTTTTATATTAATTAGCATATGAAAAGAAACAACGCTAAATTTTAGAAGGCGGCAAGCCGTTCTTTTTAAAGTTTTATCAAAATTACTTTATAAAAGTTGAGCTGTCATAAATTTGGTATTGAACTTGTTTATACACACAAAAAAAATCGATTGGTAAAATTTACCAATATAATAATAAAAGGGCCCCAACCATCAAATTGTCAATTTTACGTAAGAGTTACTATAAAATATAGTTATGTGACTATTAAACAGTGTAGAACGGATTCAACCCTCAGATTGTAGTTATATAACTATTTATATAGTTATCCAACCCATAAAATATAGTTGGTGATGTTTTTATGGTAAATATATACCTGCAAAATTGATAAAGTTACTAATTAAATTATAGATACGTCACTGTAGCATGCTAGTTTAAAAGCAAAATAAAAACAAGTAATTTTCAAATTGCACTTTTGATAAAAGACATCCAGCCAGTGGAAAAATACGTTTAGGTTTACTTTTTTTAAGAGAATACATGTTTTAAGTAAAATCTTAACTTTTCAGAGTTCGGCTTGGGAGTCTAGGTGAACGGAGAACATTTTTAAAGTTATTGTTGCATACTTTTGTGTGGAAGATCTTATGAGAGAGAGATCTTATGTAACTATAACTATTTTTGATAGTTAATTAACTATTTACTATTGCAACAAGAAACTGTTAAGTACTATACAAAGCGAAAACAAATATATATACAACCACTTTTAATGGTAAAGTACAATTTGTATAGTTACCAAACAATCAACATTGCTTAATATTACCAAATAGATTTCGTTGTGTGTATGACATTAAAAAACATGCATTTCAACTGGGCTTGTGTATGGATACAAGTGAAATCAAAGAAGTATATTGTATATTGTTTACAAAAAATTGCTTGCCATAAGTGTCATGCCCATTTTCTCTAAGTATCATCATCAAATGAATTTCTAAATTGAATTCAGTTTTTCATAATTTTCACTTTCATAATTACCGCCTGGACACCATTCCCCAGTGCCCTGCGAACCGCATCTGGTGTGACAAAATATAAATTCACACGAAATTATCCCCCATCAATATCAAGATTGTTTGGCGCACGGAAAAACGCAAATCCAACATCCATGAAACCCCCCGAAAACTTGACCTGAAATGCAATCGAACCCAATGCCCTAAGCAAATAAATTTGCATTTTCCATGATGGATTGCAATATGCTGCTGCAAAATGTATACATTTTCTAAAATATTTCGCAATTTGTCAATTAATACGCAAAAGGCTTTGGCTAATGCGTTTTGTTTTATGGAAGGAGATAAACAAACAGTTTTTAGTTCGTTTAAATGCAAAACAAGTTACCCTTTGATTTTTTTGCGATGCGATGCTCTATTAGTTTTTGATTTCTACGTTTGTTGTTTGTACTTGTTTCACAGACAAATATTTGATATACATGATTATAATTAAAATATGAAAATAATTATTTCTGAATAAATTTATTTTATTTTAAATTTTAAATAACAAAATCATTTTCCTTGGTAAGTGCACATTTTAAATGCATATCCAAGGCGGGAAGGGTATTAAACCCGCCGCACTTCCTCAAAAACTTTCGCAACCCTCAACTGACAGCTGCGCTTCGTTTGTTTGTCAGTTTGGCATAAGCCTGAAATAATTATTTGTGCAGTAGAACTTCGATAGGGTCCGTCATCCGATGTGTTGCTCATCATTCCTGACCTATTTTGCAGCGCTGGCAGCCACGGCCACTCCGATGGAGAACGCATCGCTAATTGCCCCGCCGGCGACGGGGACAACCACAATGGCGGTGGACACGGGCCCAGGATCGACGGAACCCCCTGTCCTGATGCTGGGCGACACCCGGCAGGAGGAGGAGGACACCACGGCGGTGGATTCTTGGAGCGACCGGCCCGACACGGCCACTCTGACAAAGGGCTTCTCGATTCCCACGTATTTGCCGCCCTTTCCGGACTTCATCCCCGCCGACCTGCCGCACCTGCAGCGGAATGCCTCGTCTCGAACCGCGCATCCTGCAGACAGCAGCAGCAGCAACATCAGCAACATCAGCAGCCCATCCGGCAGTCCGGTGCCGCCTAACGAGCAATCCCGTCTGCACGCCTACGACAGCGAACAAAAGGCCCAGCAGTTGCGGCGCGAGAAGGAGCTGGCCAAGGAGCGGGAGCTCCTGCCCCGCCGCCAGCTCAGCCTGCCCCCGCTGAACGCCACCGTCCAAGCTGGCCAGCACGCCTATCTGCCCTGCAAGGTGAGTGGGTGTGGGGTGATGGGGTTGATGGGTTAAACGGGGACAATGGGGAGCCATCTGGCTGAGTGGCGTAATTGAGAGCGCCGAGTGAGCAGGCTACATTGGGAAGCAGTCCTTCATTCTGCGAGAAAGTGGGTACAAAATAGAAATGGTTGATTAGGCTTGTAATGTTTAAAAGAAAACATTTACAAATACCCTTTTGTATTGAAAAAGGTGAGAAAAAATATTTAAAATATTATTTTCACAGATTTGAGTTTTTCTTGACTTGGCACTGTCTAACTATATCTGCACATTTTGAAAATCAATCTTAAAGATTTAAATTTAGTCAGCAATATGAAACAATTAATAGAAGAAAGTCTAATAGTCTATTAATTTTAATAAGTTAAATGTTTAGCCTCATTGAAACGAAGAACAAGAAAATAAAACGTACATAACCTTATTAAGATACATCCCTAAAGATCACTCATGCTTTCTCCCCGTGTAGCTCAACCAGCACTCCGGTAAGCCGCTCTCCTGGGTTCGTTTGCGGGATGAACATATCATTGCGGTGGATCACACAACCTTCATCAACGATGCGCGGTTCGCATCGCTGCTCCAGTCCTCCACCTCGACGACAATTGTATCAGGGGCTGCTCCTGCGTCCGCGGTGGCCCCCTCCGTTGCGCCGGGAAACGGCTCCGCCCACGGGGGTCTGGGAGGTCAGGAGCGGGGCAACGGCAGCAGCCTCAGCTGGACGCTGCAAATCAAATATGTGAAGCTCGAGGACGCCGGCTGGTACGAGTGCCAGCTGGCAACGGAGCCAAAAATGAGCGCCAAGGTGCAGCTGTTTGTGATAAGTAAGTGAAACGACTGCTAACCGACAAATATCCCACACTGGAAAAAGTCCATAGGTCAAATATATTTAAAATTGTATGTATCGCTCATTTACTAAAATAGTCAGATCCGTTAATTTTGGAGGTAATAATGCAGAGATTTTAAAAACGTCTTGGTAAAATACCAAAGAAAATATTTTTTCCGCGTTAAAAATGACCTACAAAAAGAGAATGTTCCTAAGCATGATCTCCTTTTTATTGGGAAATATGAAAAAGCCAGAGACCGTAATAATTATAAACGTATCAAACAACACTAATTTACAGCCAGAATGCCCCAAGAAGGATGATGGTAGTTCCTGGTAGAGTTGGACCCCTAGATCACGAAAAAGAAGTCAAAAATATTTTATATGGACAAGTTGTCTTTTAATTATTTTTAAAAACATTTTGTTGGAATCTCCGAGCTTTTAATTATATCTCGAGTTGCGCCTAACAAATTTTGGTGATGTATGTTTTAGTTTACAACTATAATGTCGCCTCTAGTATTATCAAATAAACGAATAGGCCACTTTAAGTGAGAAACACCTCGGCAAACTTTGAAAAAATATTCGAGATATAATTAAAAACTCGGAAAAAAATGTTCTTTGCAAATTTAAAAAAAATACAAAATTTCTTTTTTCTGATCTAGGGGTCCAACTCTACCAGGAACTACCATCATCCTTCTTGGGACATTTTCAAAGTACTATTTTGTAAGATAGTGTAACCATTACCGTTTTTAATTGTTTCTTTTACTGAAGAATAATAATTACTTTTGGAGTGTTAATATAAAACTGAGAAAATAATCGATTTTTTTATGAGTTGTTGGTTTAACATTAGGCAATTTAAAAAATAGATTTCTGGTGAAGAATGGAAAATTTTGTAGGGGTTTTTGGTGCTAGCTTTCTTGACCACGATAAAGGAACATTTTGTTAGTTTTTAACTTTCAATGGAGTTGCGGAAGTTAAAAAACAACCAAATGAACCTCAGCCCGCAAAAACTTCAGTATCAGCACCGTTAAAGACTTTTGAGAGTTCGAATATGTTAGACCATTTCCCTGAAGAATTTGCGGATTATTTGACGCATGAAACTAACACAAAGGTACGATCCCTTAAAGGAGGATGTTATTATTTGGTTCTGCATCCTTTCATATTTTTCTTAGAGCGTGACAATGAGATAAATCCGACAATGCTTTGCATAGTTTATGTAAAGTAAAGTTTGCAAAAACACCCATATAGGTAGGACGTTAAAGGCACATCGTTAAATAGATCCCTGGGTCACCCCCAAGGAACGCTTTAAAGGGAAATGGTTACACAACCGTCGTGTGCTAACACTTTATCCCCACCCACAGCACCCCGAACCGAGCTAATCGGCGATCGGCAGCGCTTTGTGAAGGCCGGCAGCAAGGTGGAGCTGCACTGCATCGTGCGAGGCACCCTGGAGGCCCCCAAATACATATTCTGGTACCGAGGCGACCAACAAGTAACTGCCGAAAACGAGGCCAGCGGTGCCCAGAGCGGATGGTACACGCAAATAGACAGGAATATCTTCGGCAGCACCGAGCATAATCGGAACACGGTGAGCGGATTTGGGCGGCACTGGAGTTCTTAAGAGGATTTCTCATAAATATCGATTTTGCAGATTGGTTCGCTGGTCATCCCGCTGGTGCGCAAGGTTCACTCCGGCAACTACACGTGTGAACCGGAGAACAGTGCGGCAGTTTCCATGCAGTTGCACGTCCTGAGCGGTAGGTGACTTAAAATTGTTAAGCCCTAACACCCCGTTTAGTTTATGAAAGATTTATTTTGAATATTTACAAAATTACATAATAATTAAATTATAAATTTCAGGGGAATACTCCGCCTCTGCCATAAAGTCGACTGCTGCCAACCTCCATAGACTGGGCCCCGGATACAGTCTCCACCAGTGGCTAATCTTCCTTCTGGTGGCCCTGAACAAAACATGAGTGGTTCTGGAGGAAATCCTATCATGGAGTGCGCTGGAATTATTATCCGATCGGGGAGTTTTGTCTAAGACATTAGTTTAATTTCTAGGTAAATTGCACTTACACTCAAACGACGATATGGTTTATTCTGCTGACACTTCTTAAAGTCTAAGCTCATCTTTCCGAATATAAACAACATTTTTATACAAATTCTAGACTTAACAATGTTTCCTTTACTCTAGTCATTAGATCTAGTTCAATAAGAATTATCATAAGCATCTAAATCCGAGTAACGAACTTTTATTTGTTATTTGCGTAAATAAAGCCTGAGGCGTCTTATGTAAGATGTGAATTATTCTTCTCTTGCCTAAATCCATTATATTTAAGTTCTCACTAATTATTGTAAGTTATCTTTGGTAAACCAAGAGGTTTTGAACAGATTTATCAAATTAATTGCGTTGCACAGGCATCCCGCGACTGGATCCTTAATATCTATTCTAGAGCTCTTATATTTTCCGAGCTATCGGCGCCATACGAACAGACAGATGGATATGACTAGTGCGACTCCGCTAGGATCCTGTTCAAGAATTTCGTATGCTACTACTACTTTACTATTTTTATTTTCAACGAATATTTTACAAATCTACTTATGCTGTCCCTATCCCTATAAATCCCTTTTTATCTTTGAAATATTCACTGCTTTGTCGTCATAAACGACATCATTTTCTTTTATTGTTGAGCCTCGCTCTTTGATTTACACTTGATATAGCCCTGCTTATGCCTAACTACAGAACTAAAAATTGGCCTCTGAGATCCTGCCTAATACTCTTACCCCTTCCGTACTCCAGGCTTAGCAACTTAACCCCAATCCTCACTTATTTAAATGGGATTCACCCCCGACAATCCACCCCTCTGTTAATTTCTTGCCGGAAAATTATCTGTATATTTTAAAATGCAAATACAAGAACCTGTCATAACTCATGAAAAGGTGGGGGAAGAGAAAAGCAGCCACTAAGCCGGCGCGCAAATACTCAAAACCAAAAAAGGGAATCGAGAAAAACTACCATTGTCTTGGCCATTGTTTCGCCTTGGCCATTGTTTTATGGCCTGGCCAACTATAATTTTGTGCGATTTTTCTGATTGCCCGCGCACTTTACGCTGCTCATTTATCAAGCCGCCACTGACCAGAAAAGAGCGCCTTAGCAACCGTGGCCAAGATGTGGCGAAAGTTTTATGGCCAAGTTTGAATTTCCCCCAGAAGTTGGCCCACATTTCCATCTTCCATCCTCGCACACCTTGCTCCCGGCCTCGTGCTCCTTGGCCTGCTGCTCCGGCCACTCAACAGACAATTTACAACTGGACATATGGCGTGCGAAGGGAAGGACCTCTGAGGCTGGGGAGGAAGGGCTGCGGAGAAGGGGCTAATCACTTTTTGATTTATTCGCCATGGCCGCCGCATCCTGAAACTTTTGCCCACAGTTCATATTTTTCTTTTCGCTCTGCGGCTTCCCCGCAGTTTTCCTGCAGTTTTCCTTTTCCCTGTTGCTTTTGCGGTGTGGCGACCGGCAGCTGGAGGATATTGACAGCCGCAGATCGGGAATCCGGGGGATTAGCTTATGCGAGTATTGAAAAATTCCGCGTCTGGCAATCCGAATGCCTCGCAGGCAACTGTCAACAATTTCTTAAAGTTCATTCCGCTCAGTCAACTGATTATGGCCCAATCCCCCGGCAGTGGTGGCTTTATCAAAGAGATTGGCGCATTTTAATAATTCACATGGCAAACTGTTGAAAAATAAATTTCGTCCGCGCACGCGACGCCCAAAGACATTTCCCTCGGAGGCGGTTTAAGAACACCCACGACCTTACTATATATCGGCAGTTCACCTTGCCGGCAGCGGAAGGCTCCTGATTTTGGGACCAGGCCCCGGTGATTCTCGTTTCCAAGCGGTTAAAGTTTGCCGGTTGACTTTTAAGTTATATTGTGGGCGGCCGCCGGTCGGACACATCCAAACTTGTCCTGCATCTCGCCGTTCTCGCCAACCTTAAGGAAAATGCGTGTGAGTGTGGGTCTGAGCCCGGTACTTGAGCCATCACTGGAAAAATACTTCCCACCAGTAGTGCTACAGATAATAAGTGCATAACTTTGTTAAAAACTCGAGCATAATTATAGTGGCACTAAAATCTCCCCCAAAACAGAATTCTCTACCACTAAATATGACATTTTTCCTGTTTAGGTGATGAATAAACATATTTTTTTCTGGGACTATGGATTTCCTCTAACCTCCAACATAAAAATTCTTTGCCCATATCCAGGATTTTGTCGTGGAGGAGATTTCAAAGCAACATTTTTCGTGGCATACCTTTTGAATACGACATTTCCGATTCTTGTTACTTTATCGACGCTCGTTTATAAAATGTAATGTAAATGTTTATTATGTGATTTATTTATATTTTTTTTTTAAACGAAAAATCTTACGCTCTAGCCTTTTAATAACACCAAATCAAAAACCTTTTTTATTGAATCTTCTTTCCGTGGGTACCTAATTTGATTTACATTCTTTATCTGTTTTTTTGTAAGTGCAGAACACAGGACAGTAAAGTTTTAAGGAGCTGGGGGCATGTGGCTGTGGGTTATTCCCCTGTCAAAGCAGCAACTGATGTAATGTAACAAGTTTTCCCAGGATACCGGCTAAATTGGCTCATAATTTGCCCAAATATTTGAGCAATCAAACGAAAAGCTTTGCTAGAGCCCAGTCCAAACCAACTCGTATATTTTCAGTGTGGGCATAAATCACTAAAGGCATTCTTCACCTTGTTCCGCAATTATGTGCACTGCGCAAACTTTGATTTAAATTTGTAAGCCTCCCGCCCTGGCAGAGGCAGCGGTCAATAACTTGTCAGCCGTTTGACTTGCCTTTTGCCAGCCTCATGAAAAATGTATTTAGGTAGGTCAATTCCCGAACCTGTTGATGCCCGGGAACAGCTTTTGAGCAGGGGACTTTTGCGCAGGACCGTTCCCAGGCCCACAAAATTTCCCTAGGCGCGAAATTTAAAACTGTTCCCAGAAACAGCTGTTTTTCGTAAATGGGAAACAACAGCTTTTCAAAGAAAATTTGACTGGAATGTAATTGTTCTTTAAAAAAGCCGATGAACTTTAAACACTTTCAACAAAACATACAAAATTAAAACTTCGAAGTAAATAAAAAACACTTTCGTTTTGATTTTTATATAATTAACTTTTTATTTTTCATAAATATGCACAATTGCGTTGCTGAATTTGTTTGCATTTTGATATAATATATATAATTGTAATAAGTAAACCTAATCGCGCTTAAAGTGAAACTAAACGACAATTTTGCATCTCTTTTTACAGAAGTTATTCGTACATCGATTGCATATTTTTGTTTTATTATTTTTCAATATTTATTTAAAAAATATCTTCGCTTATTAAAAATAAATCGCGCCTTATAAATAGAATTTAGTTTCGATTTGAAATACTTGGAATGCACAAAAATAATTTGTCACCTTTGTGGTCGGTTTTTGAATAATTGTATGCTATATATAATAAAGAGTTTATATACATGACGTCCAGTAAATGGCTGTGCATGTACGCTATACCCTTGCAGACGGTATTATATTTTAAGAAGGAAGTTTGCATGGGAGAAACACAATTAAAACGTGCTCCTACCTACAGACTTCTTCCCCACAGTCATTTTACGCGGTACCAAGAATAGTTTTCTAACATTGTTAAAATCGGACGACTATATAAAGCTGACATGAGTTTAACTGCAAGGATACATAAACATCGGCTTGCCGAACATAACTCTCCTGTTTTATTTTAAAGCCATTAGGTTCTCTTGAAGTGAAATCCTATTTGATTTAAATTGGTACTTTCTCTATGCATATTCGAATAACAAATTGTATATGCTCTAGGAGATGCCTTTGCATTCAAAACGTGTTTAAAAAGGTTGCATTGATTAAAAATATATATGTGAAGTTTTAAATATTTCATTACTCGTTCGTTCGTGGTTTGTAAATATAGCTTTAATAATTGAATAATTGGACCATTTGTTTTAACGTTGTTGTGGCTTAGAATTCTCTAATGGATACAGTATATATATAAACGTTTCTTGTTCCGCACGGTTCCCAGGTAATTATATGTATGTATATCTAAACTAACTCGGCTCATTTACACTGTTGTTTAACCATAAATTGTATGTTGTAATCTGATGTAACAAATTGTTAATCGTAGGGTTAAGTTAAATGTTAAATGTTTAAAACGCTTTACAAATGTGGCTCGCCTTGCTTTGTCTAGGCTCGTTATAGTTTTGTATATATAAACATAAGTATATATAGACTATAATGATATACACTGACAATTCTCACTAATTGAATTCAGTTAACATTTTGTGTAATTAACTCTGTAACGCGATAACTATGGATTGTTATTGCTTTGCTTAGCAAATTCGTTAGGTTTGTTTGTTTCTATCGTAATCCGGTATATATAACTTGATCTATAAATCTGTGTTTGTTATGTAGAGCTAACGTAACAACTTGGCCCCCAGTATATTGAAGTTTAAGCTTTGTGGGTTCTGGTGTGTATGTACATAGCGTTAAGCAAAGATATCCCCTCCTTAGTGCACCGCATCTATATCTCGCTGGGCCCGCGATATCTTCAGCTTGTCCTTGGGCGTGTTATCTTCCCCCGACTCCAGGGCAAACATCTTCATCTTCTCCTTGAACGATAGCTTTTCGGGCACCGCATCTCCAGCGCGTTGTTGCTGTTGCTGCTGCTGCTTCTCCGCCAGGCGACGCGTGCGAGGATCTCTGTGCAGAAGGATAAAATGATTCAGTTAGATGTTTTAAATGTTGAAAGGCAGAGATATCATACCTGTAGACCTCTTGCGCTCCAATAACTCCGGGAGTGGATTGTACAGAGGTATTCCAGAGCGCAGCATCGGGAGTGGCTGGCATCGATGGAAGCATGGAGGCATCCAGATTGTGTTGCAGATACTATACGAATTATTTTTTAATTAATAACCAATTCTCCTAAGCATTAAAAAATAAACGAATGTACTTACACTCGTATCTTCTCTGATGGTGTCCAAATCCTGATGCTCCATACCGTAGTTGTCCATGATATATTGCTGCTGCAGCTGTTGTTGCTGGCTGTTTGCGCCTACAAAGTTGTTCTCTTCATCATGGAAGCTCACCCGCTTGTTATCCCTCTGCATCAATGGCGGCGGCGGAGGTGGTGCGCCCAATCCTCCAACCATTCCACTTCCCGTGGCCGAAACGTAGGCGGCATTTAGCTCCATGGCGCTG